AGGTTGAGGGTTCGATTCCCGGTGTAGGCACATACCTAGAATGTGGATTCCATCCCTGGTTCGGGCAAGTGTGGGAGACAACTGATCAATGTTTCTCTCTCCTCTTCCTCCCTCCCTAAAAATCAATTAGAAAACACATTCTTGGGTGAGAATTAAAAAGAAGATTATAGGAATATATTTATAGGAACAAATTCATATATTCATATACCAATATAATAAGATCAAGGAGCTTTGATAAAAGTAATATGTCTACATGTATACCTAACTTCATTACACAAGGCATTGTGGATAAGAATTTATTATTATGAGCAGTGATATTCTGCTTGCTTCTCAGTGTGGCATCATAACAATAAATGATCAATACAGTTTTTCTGCGTTACAGAGCCTGGGAGAGAGAGAGAGAAATAGAGATAGATTGATTGAAATTGTGTGTGTTCCCATGCACCTGCATCTTAATTGGTTTTCAGTAAGTTGTAGGTTTATACTTACCATTTTCTCTTCTATTAAAATACTCCTTGACCCGTAGGATGAAGAAAACATATTTTAATTATATAAAAATATTTTTATAGAGAGAGTTTTATAGTTTTTTCTTTTGCTATACAAACATATTACCTGAAGGTTTCTAAAGGAACCAAAAATCAAAGTTTTAACACTTTTCCAGAAGTATATTGAACAAATAGTATACTGTTCTGCTTCAGAATAAACTTGGGAATTGTGTAGTTATGCACTTCTAGGCAAGTCAGTTAATATTTTTGTGTGAAAAATAAGAATTATCATAACTTTATACCTGAAATTGCTTTTATGAAAAATTCCGTAGCCGATCTAAAACTGAAGATATAAAAAAGTATATTCTGGCAGCATCAATTTGCTGAATGGTCAAAAAACCCCACATTTCACATTCACATTTCTAGGAAGTACTTGATTTACCCAACTGTTTTATCTTTAACTTTCCTTTTTCCAAGAATTTATATAGTTCTTCCAAGAATTGACTTAATTTGTTTAGAAATCCTGATAAGTTTCTAATTACCAGTCTTCACAACATCTGAGATGTTTCCCTGTTGTAGTTTTTGGAGAGCAGAGTATGTAAAAGCTAGTTTTGTTTCCCATAATAGACCTGGGTAATGTTATAAATAGTGATACCTCTTTTCCACTAGAGAAGACTATATGTAGCAGCTCCTTTACCATGGAATTACTTTCCGGACAAAATGTTTGAGGCTATTTCTCCTAGTTTATGGGACTACATTGAGTTATGTCAATTAGCCTGACAGTCATTTTACATTGTGGTATGATTATAACATCAGTTATAAATATTTAACTCCAAGGATGGATAAAGAGTTTGTGCACATATGTGAAGAAATACCGTACCATACCACTCCACAGTAAAAAAGGAATGGAAGGAATAGACTAAAAGGTACAACATGAATTTATCTACAAAACACTGTATGATTCCATTTATATAAAATTCTGTAATAGGCAATAGCAACAAAATAGCAAATCAGTGGGTGCCAGAGCCTGATGTGCTAGGGAGATTAACTGCAAGGGGCATGAACGAACATGGATATGTTGGTTATAATTGTCTTAATTGTGGTGTTATGTGGGTGAATACATTTGTCAGACTCATTGAACCTCATATAGTCAAACCAAGTACCTTTTGTCATATTGGAAATTATATTTGAAGTTGTTTAAAATAAAGTTAAACACCAAAGTATGAAATACAATAGTTCATGAGTAGTGACTTGTAAAATAAGTTTGGTCAAAAAGTATACTGTCAACCTCAAATTAGCTTTAGAGCAATAGTAGCCCACGGTTGAGTATTAAGTTGAGTATTTTATTTTGAATGCCACTGAATAGATGTCAAATTTTGTGCTTGTCCATTACTGTCTTATGCCATGTGTAAAAACACTTTAGTATTATATGAATTAAGTTAATGACAGTAATACAGGGTTTTTAACTTGCTTTATAGCACTTTGTTTTTCAGTGTTTTAATGTAATGTGCACTCATGTTTTTTCTCTCTCTGAACTGTATGTTTTTTTACTGTATTACTGTTTAGTCACACAATTCAGATAGGTATAATTTAATATTTCCTGAAATATTAAAAATAATTTCTGAATTTTTTTAACATTAAAAAATAGTGATTCTGAATACCTGAATATATTCACTATTCTTCTCCCTTCCTCTCTGAAATCAATAAAAATGTATTTTAAAAAATATTTATGCCCTAACCTGTTTGGCTCAGTGGATAGAGCGTTAGCCTGTGGACTCAAGGGTCCCAGGTTCGATTCCGGTCAAGGGCATGTACCTTGGTTGCGGGCACATACCCAATGGGGAGTGTGCAGGAGGCAGCTGATTGATGTTTCTCTCTCATCGATATTTCTAACTGTCTATCCCTCTCCCTTCCTCTCTGTAAAAAATCAATAAAATATATTAAAAAAATAAAATATTTATATTTTCACGGATTTTTTAGAGAGAGGGGAAGGGAGGAAGATAGAATCATGGCTGAGAGAGAAACATGATGGGCTGCCTCCCTACACCCGCTACTGTGGATGGAGCCTGCAACCAGGGCAGGTGTCTTGACCCGAATCAAACCAGTGATCTCTTGGTGCATGGGTCTATGCTCAACCACTGAGCCACACTGGCCTGTCATTAAAGATTCTTGAGTAGCTTGCTTTTCACTTGGCAACTTCCATTATCCTCCTATATAATAAAAGGGTAATACGCAAATTGACCCTAATGGGGGGACTACCAGTCGCTGTGACACACACTGACCACTAGGGGACAGACGCTCAACACAGGAGTTGCCCCCTGCTGGTCAGTGTGCTTCCACAGGGGGAGTGCCACTCAGACAGAAGCCGGCTCATAACTGACCACCACAGTGGCGGTGGTGGGAACTTCTCCCACCTCCGTGGTGGTGCTAAGGTGTCCGACTAACAGGTTAGGCCTGCTCCCTGCGGGCTCCTGGGCTGCCAGAGGATGTCTGACTGCTAACTTAGACCCGATCCCCTGGGGAGCAGGCCTAAGCTGTCAGTCAGACATCCCCCAAGGGGTCCCGGACTGCGAGAGGTTGCAGGCCAGGCTGAGGGACCCCCCTGAGTGCACAAATTTTCGTGCACCAGGCCTCTACTACAAGTACTATCCCAAGTGAGTAAACTGAAGTTATAAATTAAAAGTCTAAATCAAGAGTAAAGAATTTCTTTCACTTTAAAGCAGTGAAATGGTAAAAAAGAAGAAAAAAAAAAAGTAAAACAAAAAACTTCCTAGGATCTGGAGAATTATTGTTGTGCAATTGTTTTGAAAAGTTAACATCTATTTAAGACAGCGGTTCTCAACCTGTGGGTCGTGACCCCTTTGGGGGTCGAACGACCCTTTCACAGGGGTCACCTAAGACCATCAGAAAACACATAAATAATTACATATTGTTTTTGTGACTAATCACTATGCTTTAATTATGTTCAATTTGTAACAATGAAATTGGGGGTCACCACAACATGAGGAACTGTATTAAAGGGACGCGGCATTAGGAAGGTTGAGAACCACTGATTTAAGATGCTGCCACAGTTCTAATGGAGATATGCTTGTTAACTTTGTAGGCCATTCAGTGTTGGAGATCTTTGTTTGAATAGAACACACTGCACAGTATGTTATATGATAACATCATTGGGGAAGGGTAGATGGATGCTCTGATGACTTCCCCATCCTGTATAATAAAAGCCTAATATGCTAAGTGTCTGGTCATCTGTTCAACCAATCAAAGCATATCAATAATATGCTAATGATATGCTAAGGCCACTCAACTGCTCGCTATGATGTGCACTGACCACCAAGGGGCAGAAAGTGGACTGGTCGACCAGTCACTATGACATGCACTGACCACCACGGGGCAGACGCTCTGACCGGTAGGTTAGCTTGCTTCTGGGGTCTGACCGATCGGGAATGAGTGAGACGGGCTGGACACTCCCTGGGGCCCTCCCATTGTCCTTCCCCAGCTGGCCAACCTCCTGTGTCCCTCCCTGGCCCCGATCGTGCACCGGTGGGGTTCCTTGGCCTGGCCTGCACCTTCTCGCAATCCGGGACTCCTCCGGGGATGTCGGAGAGCTGTTTAGCCTGATCCCGCAGGCCAGTTCATAAAATAGTAATATACTTAAATGTTATACCTTTTTAGAACTTAATACCTATAAATGTATTAGCATCCAAAATAACATGTGTACTTGATTCATTTTCCCCCTACCCCTCCAATTGTACAATATTCTGTAAATTGGACATTTCATAACTTTAAATTGATATTCCTTGCTGATAGGATGGTGTATAGCAGTGGTCACCAACCTTTCAAACCTCTGGTTGGCAACTGCTGGTGTAAAGAAAAGAAAGCATTTTGTTCTCTCATAGCCTTATTTATGAACTGTATGTAAACTAGGTGAAATGGGACAGTGTAAAGACAGTGTAATAAAGTGATAATGGACACTGGCTGGTTTCTAAGTGGTTAGAACATCAGCCCAAGGATGGAAGAGTGGGGGGATCGATTTCAGGTCAGGGACATATACCGCAGTTGTAGGCTCCATCTCCCACCCTGGTCAGGGCACATGGAGGAGACAACAGGAGGATGCAACTGATGGATATGTGTCTCTCTTACATGGATGTTTCTCTTTCCCCTCTTCTCTTTGCTTCCACTCTCTCTCTAAAAAAAAAAAAAAAATCAATGGAAAAATATTCTCGGGTGAGGATAAAAAAACAAGTGAAAAGTCCTGGAATATATAGTATATACAAAAAAACCAACAAAACCTCTTGGCTTTAGTTAGTGGAGAAAAGTAGTGGACGAATAGAGATGTGGTAGGAACTCCTAGTTTGAAAAGGCTAAGTAAAGGCAAACTTTCTAAATAAACCTGGCAGACTGCTAGAGAGGCCATGAGAAGATTCTATGGTCTTTGAACCAGGACGATGAAGAATTTTTATTTTAAGAGAACTTCTCCCTTTAAAATTTTACTTTTGCATTTCACATATATAGGTTTAAGAAAATCTACCAAGAAGCGCAGTGAATCCCCACCTGCTGAGCTCCCCAGTTTGAGGCGGAGCACACGCCAAAAGACCACGGGCTCCTGTGCTAGTGCCAGGTAATAACTTGGGTTTTTCCAGTTTATGATTAGTTCATTATTTGTGTTTTAGAATTTGTTGCCTCTATAAAGGAGGGTAGATGGGTCTATGATTTTTTCCTCAAAATCATTAACTTTGTAAGATTTATAAAATTATTAAAAGTTTCACTTGAATATTGAATAAAGAAATTTATCACTATTTTTATGAATTTTTTTTAAATATATTTTTATCGGTTTTAGAGAGGAAGGGAGCAGGAGAGAGCGAGAGATAGAAACATCAATGATGAGAGAGAATCATTGACCAGCTGCCTCCTTCATGCCCAACACTGGGGATCCAGCCCACAACCAGGGCATGTGCCCTAACTGGGAATTGAACCATGACTTCCTGGTTCATAGGTCGATCCTCAACCACTGAACACACCAACTGGGCTGTTTTCATGCATTCTACCCCAATATTTATTTACATGTTTTTGCTAAGCTTTAATTATACTAGCTTTTTTTTTAAGGTGCTGTTTATTTTATTTTATTGTATATAATAAAATGCATATATTCATTTTTATATATATACTAGTGACCCGGTGCACGAAATTTGTGCACACTAAAAGGGAATTAATTAGAGGAAATATTTTAATATTGCTATTTGCCCTTTCTCTATAATAGAAGTGTCAGAGATGAAAGAAAATTAATAAAATATATATGAAGATAATATATACATTTATTAATAAATAAACAATAACAGTGGGGGATGCATCCTCACGTCCCCTGGCCTTGCTGTGCATGCAGCGCCACTCACCCGTGCCTGCTGCACACGCAGCCTCCTGCTGATGGGTCGTTACGGCGTGAGGGCATCACAATCATTTGCGTATTAGCCTTTTATTATATACAATATATTTTATTGTTGATAGTATTACAGATATCGCCCATTCCCCCCCACACCCCTTTACTCCTTTCTTCACAGCCCCCCACCCCACCTGACCCCCTGGTCTTCACTACCCTATTGCCCGTGTCCATGGGCTATGCATATAAGTTCTTTGGTTTATCTCTTGTCTCCCCTTCCCCACATCTAGGTATGTCATTCTGTTTCATGCCTCCATGCCTCGGGTCTTATTTTGTTGGTCAATTCATTAGATTCAGCAAATAAGGGAGATAAAAAAAGAATACTAAAAGACACACAGCCAAAGACTTAGAGGGGATATAAAGAAAAAGGGAGGAAAAAAGAAGATGAAAAATTGGCTTTATTGAAGCAAGGAGGAAGCTAAAAGAACTAGTTCCAAAAAAATGAGTTCACGTGTCATAGGTTCGCCATCACTGGTATAAGAGGAAAAGAAGAGGAAACAAAATAAATGAAACGATGAATTTAAAATGTAGTAATAATGGGTATATTAAGATATAGATAGGAAAAGTAAAACAGAAAAAAAGAAAAAACAAAATAAGAAAAATTAATAACAATAAGAATAGACTGGCGTAGACTAGAATCAAAGGAAAGAGAAATTAGAGATATGGAAGAAAAAACCCAAACAACAAAAACAAAAAAGTTTATTCACACACACACCAAAAAACAAAACCACATACTCAAAAACCTTTTTTGGGTCTGCTATTTGTGGAGCTTGCTTGATTTTGCTCTGATATTGTTGGATCTGCTCACTTCGTGTGTCTATCCTGGGCCTCCTGGGAGCTTCTCTAGTGCAGGCGAATGTGAGTCAGCTATCCCTTTCTGGCCCTGTGCAATCTGATTGAGTTCTGAGAGGTAGAAGCCCCTACTAGTCCAGTGGTTGGGACTCCTTAGCCCAGAGGTTGGGTCTTCCTTGAGTCTCATGCCTTGATTGTCCCTGTTCTGAGCTGTATTGTACTCCCTTCCCCTATGGAGTTGGTCCTGCAGGTGTCAGCTGCAGGCGTTGGGGGTGCCACTGGCTTTCGCTTCACTTCATGATGGTCTGGGTGGTATCTGCATTGGGCACGCATGGGGTCTGTTGTCATTATACTAGTTTTTTTATAACACTTTTATCCTTTACATTTTCCTTCATTGCTACATTGTTTTCATAGTTATTGCCAAATAGTTGGACATTTGATTGTCTTCAAAGTTCTAGTCAACCAAATAAATCTCTAGTGAGCATCTTAATGCAGATTTGGGTTATTTTCTTAAAGGGAGTTGAATTTTCCAGTAGTGTGATTAATGGATCAAAGGGATGCCTGTTTTTGTTTGTTTGTTTGTTTTTTAAATATATTTTACTAGAGGCCCGGTGCACAAATTTGTGCATTGGTGGGGTCTGGCCGGCCCACCCTGATCAGGGCCGATTGGGCCAGGCTGGCTGGGGGGAGGGGACATGGGAGGTTGGCCAGCCAGCCTGCCCCTGATCGGGTTGGGGAGCTGATTTGGGGTGGGCCAGGCTGGGGGCAGGGCCGTGGGCAGTTGATGGGCAGGCCCTGCCCCCTGGTCAAACTCCGGTTGAACTCCCGGTCGAGGGGACACTTTGCATATTAGCCTTTTATTATATAGGATTGATTTTTTTACAGAGAGGAAGGGAGAGAGTTAGAGAGCTAGAAACATCGATGAGAGAGAAACACCGACCAGCTGCCTCCTGCACACTCCCCACTGGGGATGTGCCCGCAACCAAGGTACATGCCTTTGACCGGAATCAAACCTGCGACCCTTGAGTCCGCAGGCCGACGCTCTATCCATTGAGCCAAACCGGTTAGTGCAGGGATGCCTGTTTTAATGGATGTAATATTGCCTAATTAGTTTCTAAAAGTGTTGCCACAGGTTATTGAGTTTAATGGGTGAGTGGGAGAGATGTACTTCATTTTGTATACAACACCGACCTGGCAAGGAAAAATGTATTGTTTGTATTTTTTCACGTCTTTAATTCCCATCTCCCAGTTACTGTTTTGGAGCTCATTTTCAGAAGATCAACTACCTTTGTTGTGATAAGTGTATTTTTTCACATATTTATTTTTATTTATTTATTTTTACATACTTTTATTAACTGATGGGGAATCTTAGGTTAAAGTTAAAAATCTTTTTCTGACAATTTTATTCCCACATTTTCTTTTTTTTGGCCTTTGAACTTGTCTTTATTTCTGATCATTCCTTTCCAACCATCCACCCGAGGATTAACTCCCACAGATGCACCTCGAGCCCAATTCCCCAGCCCCTCCCCAATCAAACCAGATGCATGTTTCTGATAGTAGGACACTGTCTTTGAGGTCCCATGAACTCCCCAACCTTTGTCCCTGCAATCCTGTACCCAGGCTGGGTCCCTCCCTTTCCCCATTCACACTGAGCATGAACATTAAACGTGAGTGGCTCTGCATACTGCACCCCTGTCCGAGGGGTCCACAGTCTCATGGGTCCTGTAACACTCCAGGGGGACGGGGCACAGCTCGCTCTCTAAACTGCGCAGCCCGGCTCTGTGGCGCAGCAGCTTCTTTATGGTGGCCACGGAGAGGGGGTTCTCAGTGTTGGTGAAGTCCCTGAGCTGGTGACAGCGGCTCAGGACATGCAGGATGGCCTCAACTTGGGAGTCCATCATCACACAGTTATCTAGGCGTAGGTCCTGGAGGGTGGGTGCCACTGCCTCAACAGAGCTCGGAGGGGCTTGGGACTAAAATCAGTGAGGTTGGCGCCATACAGACGCAGGGACTTCAGCTGCCTGAGGTCGGGCACTGGAACAGGTGTGTCAGGTCTGATTGCGTCAGCTGCCAGCAATGCCATATGGAGTTTGTCCAAGGGCGTCTGCAGGCACCTGAGCATCTGGTCCAGATGGCCTCGGAGGAAGGAGGGAGAGTCCAAGTAGAGCTTCTTGAGGTGCTGCAGCCTGAGCATCTGAGAGAGGAATTGGGAAAAGTATCCCTGCTCCTCCTGCTCCTCCCTCTCCCACTCCTGCTCCTCCCTTTCCCACTCCTGCTCCTCTTCCTCCCTCTCCCACAAATATTCCTCCTCCAAGACCTGCTTCTTTTCCTTCTGTTCCTCTTGCTCCTCTTCCTCCTCCATTTCCTCCTCCTCCTCCTGTTCGTCCTCCCCCTCAGCTAACACCTTGATGTGGTAGAGAGCGAGACTGCAGGTTACTCATCTGACCCAGGTAGAGAGCAAATGTCCCCAGGGTGGGCAGGTCGCAGGTGCAGTCCACTTACACCTCCTGGATGCAGTCCAGCTGCACCCTATCCAGGACCTTCCTGGCCCTCTGGAAGGGCAATTCGAAAAACCTCAGCATCTTGCAGCACAGGTGTACCAACCCTTTTCTCTGCTGGGCCCATTGGATGATGTACATGAAAAACTTAACCCCGTCCATGGGGTGCTCCATGTTGGGGCTGGAGCAGTGCACAGCCACTGGTCCTCTCTGAGAGCACTCCTGTGTGCTGTGTCCACACCACATTCTCCAGAGGTTGACATCCTTGTTCCTTAAATCCAGCACCCGCAGTTTCCACCTTCTGGGGCGAACCTCTTGGGCAAGCAGACTGTCAAGCCCCTCCAACACTGCTTTTAAGACCATGACTGGAGGCAGCCTCATCAAGCTCCCCAGAGGGAGGACAGGGAAGGGCCAGGCTTGCACCAAAACCTTCAGGGGCTTCCGCATACTCCCAAGGCAGGCCTGAATGAACAGTAGTTTGAAGAACTCAGCAGGCAGGTACTCCAGAGCTGCGATGGCCGCAGCCTGGTTTCGCAGCAGGCTCCTTCCTGTCAGCCTCAAGACTGTGGGTGGGGTCCAGATGCTCATCTTCAAGGTGCTCAGAAAAAAATCCTGCAGAAACGTCTGCTGTGACTGGGTTGATTGAGGCTCAGATCTCAGACCTGGTGGAGAAAGAACCACGGCACTGACTGCACAGCTGGAGGACTCTATTCCCACATTTTGAGGCTTGGTCGTCAGTTGGTCAAGTGCTCTTGTACTGCTCGCTATTCACAGCCATGTAGGCTTTTTCTTTCATTTACATTCACTTTGTTCTCTTTACTAAATGTGCCAAAAGCCAGTGATGGAGCAACTGATTTTAGTTTGTCTTCTCCTTTCTAACTCGGGTTGGTAGAAAGGTTTAGAAAGGTTTTAGCACTTCTTTAGTTCTTCTCTAAAGCAATGGACTTTGCTGTTGGCCGTGAGTACAATAGTGACATAAGGAAACAGTATGATTTGTTTCCTGTAAGTCATAAGAAAAAAACCCTGACCACTTTAATCTCTGCTTTTCCATTTTCTAGTTCTTTCTGGATTGTTTGAAATATCTGGAATCAGTACAACTATTTGCTTTTGAGGTTTCTAGGCAGTACAGGCAGCCCTCGTTTTATTAGTGCTTCACTGTTGTTATACTGTGTAGAGTAGATACTGTGTTTTTTTTCAAGTTGAAGGTAAGACCCTCCCCCAGTTGCAAAAAAATTACAACTCGCTGAAGGTTCAGATAGTGGTTAGCTTTTTA